GAAATATAGAGATAACATTGAATCCAATTTTTCCAAATCTATGAAAAAAACGAAATGATTTATTAATTCAAAAAGATGGAATTACAACCTTTATAATAAAATCTGTAATAACAACAATAGAGTCATGTTAGTCCACCCAAAAACAACACAATAAGCCATGATGTTTCACAATACATATATAAATATAATATATTTGGGCATTGAATGGCTAATAGATACATAGGTGCTAAGAAACTATGATTTTACAATTTGGAACTGATGAATGGTAAGAAAACATATGGTTGTCATAACAACGTGAAGTTGCCAGAAAAATCAGACTAAAAATGTTGGCCAAGAATGATCAACAATGCAAGGCTTGTGTGGAAAAATAACATGGAAAGGATATAAAGAAGAAAAAAAATAAAAGATAAAAAAATAAAAAATAAAAAATAAAAAAGTTGAAAATCAAGCAATGCAAAAAATGTCAAGACATGGTATGGGAACAACATATTTGATAAAACGGGCCACCAGTAAAAACACGAAAAGAAGCTGGACGGTCGCCTTGAGGGGAACGCCAGCGGTGCAATACCCCCTGCCACATCGACACGGGCATGCCGCGCTGGACTCTAGGAGCCTGGGAATGCCACGTGGGCGCGGGAAACCACCGCGGTAGTCCCCACCATTCAACTCGGTATCCCAATACCGATCCCCTCAGCGACCCCACCGATAGACGACACGTGGAGCGTGGCGGTAGCTCTTATTCTGGAAATGGGTGAACGCTCTGACCCTATTGGTCCGACTTGTGAGGCAAGTAACTCCACCCCTCAAGCGTAGTGCGCAGTAGCTCCTCCTAGGAACCAGGAATCAGGTTCGAAGTGAAGTAAAATCTTGTTCTTTTCTGCTTATTTTATTGTCTTATGCGTGTATCTTTAGCAGTATTACACTACTTCACTTGCCCACAAAGAAGTGTAAACTGTACCCGGGTTTCGTCACAGGGATATCAAACATTTACACGGTAGAGAGTGGGTGGATGACAGAAACAGGGGCATACACTATACACATTTCAGCATCGCAAAGGCGTTCAGAGCCTTGCCTAGCAAGCCTCGCAGACGGTGATGAACGACTGTCTTTAAGGTTCGGTGTCTCGATGCAGACGCACGACGAGTATCTGCGTCAACGTTTTCTTAGATGGGAGCGGCAATGCGATTTAGGCCGGACAAAATCAACTGCCCCCCCAACTGACACCTTTCAATTATTTGGAGAACATCTCTGCACAGTTGTGATTTTCGGTGATCACTATAAAAACAAATTGCAAATGTCTTGAATGAAGAAGTCAAAATGTGAGCGACGGATCAGGGATTTAAATTCGCAGATCGTGTTTGAAGTCCACATTCACTCGTTAGCTGATCGATTAACTCACTGTCTGATGAACTCCAGCTCTCGCCATCTCCACGAACCAGGTCTCTATCTGGACAGTTAGAACAGTCTCAGTTGATCGATCTAGGAGAGCTTCATTTGAAAATTGCAGCTGGTTAGGGATCACAGCGAGGCTAGATTTTGAGTAATGTGCGGTCAATTGATCGAACTTACTGGCGGGGATGCACGCCAGTTTCATGATCAATGTAGCGGTTTCGAACAGTGGTACAAAACTTGGCGTTTTCCAGGTATCATTTCATTCTGTTACTTTGTAAGCGATGATATGCTCAGCTCAGGATCAAGAAAGTCGTAGATTGGGGAGCAATTGGCAAGTGCCTGTCGGCAAGCTGCGTCCTCCAAAGAGCTTCGGAAGTCCCAGGGAAAGTGCACATATGTCAGGGAGTCATGCGGAGTCCGGGTCTTCTCGGCGCAAGCACAAGACAGTGCGCCTATACAAGGGAGTGCGGATGAGGACGTGGGGGAGATGGGTTACGGAGATCAGACAACCACAGACGAAGAAGAGTATATGGCTGGGCTCCTACCGGTCTGCAGAAGAGGCTGCGCATGCTTACGATGCCGCTGTGTTGTGTTTGAGAGGTCCAACGGCTAAACTAAACTTCCCTGACGAAAGACCTGCAATCCCGCCTGGTTCGCCTGGCAAGTACAGCATTCGAGAGGTTCAAGCAGCCGCGGCAGGCGCAGCTGCCGCGTCTGCGGGGAGACGATTCTCGTACAGCGAATTCATGTCGGCTACAACGCCCCCCGAAAGCATCGATCCGGCTCCGGAGCATATCAATTGTCCATCAGATTCACGTGGAACATCGCCGCTGCCTGCCGACAGAATCTATCCCTGTGAGTTTGATGAGGATCCGCTGCAGGCAACATGGGAAGTGCCTGATGAAATGATGGTCCCGCTGACTCCTCGCGAGGTGCTTTACGACAGTGACAGTTACGATGGCTTTCCTCGCGATGATTTGCCTCCGTGGAATACCTGATTTGAATCACCTCTGTTAGTACGATCAAACCAAAACCACAGTGCCACTCCTCAGGTTCGTAGCTACTTCTGTTCAATTTTGGCCCTGTCTTGAGTCGATCTGCTGATTGATGACCTTCAAGATACGATCGTTTCACAGAATGTAGTATACGATAATATAGTAGAAAGAAACTCCCTGAGGATTATGAAATTCGGCTAGACTCGTAACTTACTGTGGAGAATTGGGCGTTAGAACTGTCCATGCAATGCGATGTTCAATTAAACTCGCCAGTACAGCCCTATTTTAACTTCCCCGTAACGACATTTTAGCTTTTTTCGAAGAGCGTTTTATACAATTGCGAAATGAAACTTCAATTTGCATCATGGGCATTAGAGTTTGCTATCCTTCTGGCAATACTTCTATACTACAGTATTCCTATAATATACCATTATAGCAATTTACTTAGTTGAGTTTGTCGCCCAAACATTCATGCTTAGTACCTAAACTTGGTAGTATTCATTTATGCAAGATTTGGTTGAATAATTTATGATTCAAGACAATGCTTCTTTTTTTGCACAAACATTGTTATAGGATGTTGATGAAAACAAATGCCTTCCAAAACTTATGAACCTATGGTTTAGGATTTAGGATTTTTAGGATTTAGAAATTTTAAGGTTTAGATTTTAGGATTTTTAGGATTTAGAGTTTTTAAGGTTTAGATTTTAGGGTTTTTACAATTTAGAATTTTTAAGGTTTAGGATTTAGGATTTTAGAATACAAAGTTTTTAGGGTTTAGGATTTTTAGAATTTAAAGTTTTAAGGATTAAAGATTTAGGATTTTTAGAATTTAAGATTTAATGATGATCTTAAGTTTAATCAAATAATGATGTCATAATGGTAACCAATAAGATGCTGGTTTTGATGTGTTTATTTGAACACTCTCTCTTGTATTAGAATTCTCTTCTATTTTATTCAAAGATAAGCAACAATAGATCAATGGCGACATGAGATTGAGGAGATGCATGTTATAAGAAATTATTCAACATAGTTCTTCAAAACTTGTTTGTGCTTGTTGATGATGTTGAGATAATATTGTTGTAATGGGAAGTGTTTTTACTAGGCTTATGGTTGATGGTGGTAGCACTTTGTAGAGTCTGTGCAAGCATCTTTTCTTTTGCTGCAAGTTTGGTAGAAGATTTGTTTGAATCTTTAGTGAAAAGTAGGATTTTATGAGAAACTTCTTCTAAGTTGACAACATTGAACAATGTGTAATCCAAGTAGAGTAGGAATATTTGAATTGTGAAGAAAGTATAAAGCAAAAATAAATGGGTTCAAGAAAGCTAATTTTTAAAGTTTTAAAGATTGTTGATTTGCAAAGAGGTATTTGAGGGAGGTAGATTGTAATCTATGTTGAGTTGGATATCAAAAGTATACCTATTCTTTCACTCATACAATAATATGTAAAAGTTTTTAGAGATTTGATTAAAATGTCAGCTTGTTGCTCAAATGTAGGCATATAGTTTGACTACTAAATCTTGAACTAAACTTCTTTTTTTAATAAAATAAAATTTTATTTCTATGTACTCGGTTTAAGAATGCAATACTAGATTATTTACCAATTTGATATAACTTTCATTATTGCTAAGAATTAGAGATGGATCATTATTCCAAATTTGTAATTATTGCAGCATTCGTTATAAGTGTATAGTGCCTTTTGTGGCTTCTAAAAGCACCCGGTATTTGGCTTTGGTAGTGCTTCACTCAACCGTTGTTTGTCTCTTGCTGGACCATTCAATTAAAGCTTCATCAATCTTGTGCATCAAAGAAGAAATTGGTTGTCTAATGTTCAGGTCCCTTCCATAGTCGGAGTCTGCATAGCTTATCAATGTGAGTTTACTTGCGAGAAGAATATGCCAATGTTTTCCAGTTTCTTTGAATTATTGCAGTACTTGTTTTGCAGCAATTATGTATTCTTCCTATGGACGTTGAGTGTATCTGCTTAGGGTACTAATTGCAAAGCTGCCCAGCATGTGATTATTGCCACTGAAATTGCCTAAATGTGGATGCAATGCAACTAGGAAAGTAATTATTCATCACTTAAATAATTTCTAACAAATGAAAGTTGGTGTTGCAGAAACTCTTACATTCTTACAACTTTTGCCTGATACACCTGAGAGAGAAATCCAAGTAACTCGTAGGGTAAGGATATACTCAGCTGCTCACTTTTAGTCCGCAGTTCCAAATCCACATGTCCTTTACTGCTAATTGACGCAAAACTCTCTGCAATCTGAGATACAACAGTAAGATATTAGTCCTCAATAAGCAACCAAACGTACATCTCCATGTAGTGTAATGAAGAAATAACATTTGGTTTGTACAAGAAGTTATTCACTTGATTCTCCAACTCACGACCAAGGATATCCATGGGTATCAAGGTCCTTCAAATACGAATTCATAACAGAAAATACAACAGCGTCCTTGTATCAAGATACCCCGTCAATTGCCGATTATAACAGAACCAAATATTAAATCTCGAGGCAAGGACAATTAAAGCAACAACTTAGTGAACCACAGTATTACACTCGAACAGGACGGGAATATACACAGGACTTCATACAATGAATAACCGGGTGGACAAAAATCGGATCCAGAGGAGATCCATTCTGTAAATTGTTGATATGATACATGAGGAGACGAGCCAACTCCTGAACTTATCTCAACTGTAGTAGCTTGCTGTTTAGTAGCTTGTTTCGTCACCGTAATGCCGTCACTATCAAGACAAGATTAAAATTCGACTGACATATTATGTTCGTCATAGGTCGCTTAAAGTGCGGGGCATAACAAGAACCTAACTTCGTTGTTTCCTGCATTCTGCTTCCTTGGATTCCGAGCTGCTCGCTTTTAAAACACTCGACCATAGCACTTTTTCCAAAGATTTCTGATGTGCATATTGCAAACACAAGTACACAGAGCTTCGTGAAACAATTCACTCCAAGGCAAGTCTACTTGATACAAGTAAAAGCAAGCATTGTCTCTGCCCGAGCAGCGAATTCTTCCAAAACATCTTCGTTGCTCCTAGTCCACTTTGAGCTAGCTTCCTTGTTTTGAAAAGACTTCCACTTGAGCTCCTGCAGCCGCCGAACACTAACAGTATCTCCATGGCCAGTCGCTACTATGAGCAAGGTATTGGGTTCCAATGCATCATACAACTTCTTGAAGCGATCATCTAACCTCGCCAAAACTGTTTGCAAGCCTTCAGGTAACAATCTACAAGCTGCCTTTGCTTCTGGGTTTGTATCTCTGTCATCAGTGAGACTCTTGGATTTACTTAGTGTACTGCAGGTCATCATCGCAGCCATTTCAGCCATACGGGCCGACCAATCTTGAGTAGCTCGCGCCTGCTCCTCATAATAAGCATGCAAGTCCGAAAACTGAGCCCACACAAAGTTCACTGCAGTTTTCTTGACTTCTTTCACAGCTTTAGCACAAACCTCATCATCTGAATTTGCGATAATCGCATTACAAGAACCGACGGCATACTGAAGCAACATCGGCCTTCTATCTATCAATGAGCTACGACGATCTTGGCGTCCCAATACTTCGATCAAGCTTTCACAATTCGGTTTCATCCTCTTTCCAAATCCAGGACCTTTGCTAATCTTCAGAAGAGCCAAATCCATGGCCGCACGCGCATCCTCCACACTGTCATGTCCAGCTTTGTCGCCCTGGATTTTTCGTTTCAAGTACCTTCCGGTCAACATTCTGAGAGCAGGCTTACACATGGGCCCCCTTGTCGGATGGTGATACAGCAATGCCGTATCTATCACAAGAGAGTGTAAAATCTTCAGAGCAATCAAATCATTCTCCACGGAATGCCCAACTAATATCGTTTCTGCATGCACCGACCTCAGTATCTCATCCTGCACGTCTTTCAAAGTTGCGGTAACGTCAGCCATCATGGCCGCCGTAATTCCACTGTATTGTGTATTATAATCCGTGATAGGATTCACAGGCTTCACTAGCTTATCTAAAATAACACCCCCTTGTGAGCTCACCATTGATACTCTTGTTAGCTCCAACCCTTCTCGTGTATAACACATCTCACAATCCACAGCAATCATCTCCAAAGGCGTCACGTTCGCTGCGGCAGGAAGAGTTCTCACGAAACCGGGTGGAATGTCCTCCCCTAAAGCAAATTTAGGATATCCGTTTTCGTGCATTTGTCGAGCCGTCAAAGTATAATAGGAAGCAGGAAAAGACGTTCGATCCTTACTGCTTGAGTTGAATCTCGCACCACAGCTTTCATTCTCCAGCCTCCTTCGCTTCCATAACCCATCCTCTACTTCCCCGACTGAAGATTTAACGTCCTTCACCTGATCTTCCTCACTATCTGAATTTGAATAGTAAGGGTGCTCCCTCTTCAGACCTAAAATTTTACTTTTCAATTGTGGCTTCTGGCAACTAAAGAGGGCCTCCACTGTCTGTGCTGGATTTGCCACAGGACTAAACCCAACAGCTGCTCGAGGAACCCCACAACATTGATTAAGGCTTTTGAAAAGACCAGGATGATCCATGTAGAGCGCCGCGTCCAATCCCGGCATGTGTAACATGACCACCTTCGTCACAAGCGGCATATTTTTCACGAAAATCCACTTGGGACTCTCTCCATCTGCTAGTACCCACCTCACTAGCCCTTGCAGATCCTTCAATTTTAACCTAGAGTTTGGTGCTGGAGGTTGAAGAACCACTTCAGCTTTCGATTGAGCACCATAGACATCAAAATAATCATTCTTGGTCTCATTATCTATAGCGAGAAGCTGCTTTTTCTTCTTGAGCGCGCGCCGGTTACATTTCACGCTTGATTGCTCTGTAGAGCTCTCATGTCGTCCCTCATCAGCTCCTACCACCGCCATAGCGGCTTTTTCACTCGCCATCAATCACCACATGACAAATTCCACGCAAATTGTGCAACAACCCTTGCCCTAGACCTCATAAAACTCGGTAATACATTGGTCTTCCCGTCGACTAATTCCAAACACTAACTGTCTCGGTCTAAATTCACGCCTGGACTATCCAACTCTCCAAAACCCTAAATCAAACCCCAAAACCCTGGAGTCCAATCTCAAATATCCTCCGGCTCACTCCAATAAATTAGACATTAAATCTTCCAACACCATTCACTCCTCCAAAATGGCGCGCTCCCGCCACAACCCCACAAGGACGGCAATGCATTACGTCTCCGTTCCAAATCTCCTGAAACTTATTGGGCAGATACGGTACATGAGAGTTTGTGGCAATCAGAACTGGAGTGCATATAGCCGCCATATGACCCCAACTACATGAACCCTGGAGTAGAGTTTCTGTGTATGCTTTTCGCGAACTTATGCTCTTTCTGCTTCAGTTTTGACGTATTCTGCTTCAAAACCATACGACCCCTTCATCCAGTAGCAGTCATAATTTCCAAATATGGTCATAGCTTCTTTTGATATGGTCCTAAGATGCATACCCGTCTGAAGGGCAATGGACTCACCTAAATCCTGGACACGGTATGAGCGGGGCTCTTTGAGCGGTTTGAGGTTCAAGTATCCGTACCTTGTGATGCATCCTGTACAGCCATTGGAGTTGTCGGTCCCGAGGAAATTTGGTATGTTTTGAAACGTGGTTTGAAGCATAAGCGTTGAGGAGATCTGCTCTGCGATTGTTGGTGGTGATCTACAACAATCGGGAGCAAGGATGCACCACCACTGGCGCTGGGACCTGGGCCGCCGTGATTACTGAGGATTCAGCGGTGCATGAGAGGTGGAGGTAGAGTTAAGCGTTGTTCGTTGTAAGAGCGGGTTGAGGACCGTAGTGGGGTGGTATGCATCTCAGACGTGCAGACAGTTTTATGACGGTCAAGAGGTGTTGAAAGATATCTAAATCCTAAATCTGGAGCGAATTGTCACTTTGATTTGTAAGAACAAGTCATCCACGTGTATTTTTTCAACCTATCTTGGATGTGGGTAAATGTTGAATAGTAGTAATATTCCAACTCGTAATCCTAACAAGTTGTTGAATGTAGATTGTCCTAATATGATTTGTCACTTTTCTCTAGAAGGTTGTAGAACTGGAAAAACTACTTTTACTTATTATCAAATATTAATAGTAGGTTCAAAATTTTACTATATTTTACTAGATTTCTACATTAAAGTTAGAAATTATTCTTGAGAATTGTAAAAACTAATAATAATAATGATGATTTTTGGATTAAAAAAGAAACTGCAAATATAATTTTGATAGGAGTCTATTATAAAGAAGTTGATAGGAGTCTATTGTAAAGAAGTTGATAGGATTTCCAAGCAATCTTTTTGGAATTATGCTGAGACAAGACATAGAAAGCAATTGGCTCCTTGTGAACTCTTAAGAGAATTTGAAAAAAGATTTACTCAATTCTTATTTTTAAGAAGGCTTTTACTGGAATCTAAGCAAATTGAGTTATATTTAAAAGTTTTCAATATTGCATTATGAGACCATTTTTTTTTTTTTTTTTTTTTTTTTTTCCCTTTAGTAGACAAAGATATGCATAGTGGTCTTATTAGTGATTGGAAGAAGGTTAAAAAATAGGTGATTCCATGTAGGAAAAAAAAAATGTATTCCACCTCACCTTTTCTTCTAATGAAATTTTGACTAATTTCTTTAAGCATAATGTGAACCAACAAAAGCTTTTTGATTTCAACCAATTACAAACTCTAAAAATTGCAGCCTCTAATTTTCTCCCTTAAGCATAGAGACCCCATTAGTTAGATAGAGAAGAGAGGAATGCAAGGTGGTGATGTGCATGTGACTGCAGATACACACTATTTACAAATAACAAGGAGAATTGATTGCAGCAGTGCAACACGTATCTGCACTATTTGGTGACAGCATGAACTCTAACAAGCGTCAGAACAGCAGTAAGCACCAGTGTAATATTTGTATCTCTATCACATGGTAGTCTGTCTTATTCCATCCACTGTTCTCGGAACCTCTGAGATAATTGAATATCCTACACAACATTAGCTGCAATATAATTTATTGCAATGAATTGGCTGTGAGTTTTGAAGCTAAAAACATCTTTCTAATGCACCCTGCATGATGTCTGTTGAAGGATTTTATGCTATTTGTCCTCAGTCCTCTAGATACTGGTCTATATATCACCTTCCCAATCTGCTTGAATCGTACAACCGCATGGCTCTGATGGCTTGAATGCCATGGTGAAAGAAAACTGCAGTAGTTGCAATGGTTGGTAGAGACAAATATCACGCACCTACTGAATCGTTTTCACAGGACAACAATTGTGCAAGCAGTGCTAGGATTACCGAATCATTCTTAGGGTTCAACACAACTTCAAACTCGCTGAAACTGTGAATTCCATTCTGGTGCCAGTAAGCCGAGGGTATTGCAGAAAGAATTTACCGGAGCAGGATGATCATAGTTCGAGTTCTAATGTCCAACATTGACAGGCCCAAGCTATTCAAACTCCCAGTACTTGACATCATTGTTAGAAGAGTTACTCTCACCAAACAGTTTTCTCGTTCGAAACATTATGCCTCAAAATGTATAGAATGAATCACAAGGTGGGTTTTGTGCTAATGCGGTGCGTTGCTGAGTTGAGACTGTTGTCAACGTAAACACAAACTGAATGGATATGTTTCGATACGTCCGTTCCATCATCACATCCTCGAAACAGAACCGGATAAGGCTTCATGCGGTTACAGGACCATTTGTGCATCAGAGCCATGTGGTCATAGGGTCATTCAACAGGCCGAGGCTTCCTATCTACTCCTCTGCCAATCCATTCCTTGCTGCCCCTGGCTTTCCATCGCCGAATACTGATGATTGATGCCAAAACCTTGAGGACTTGCTAGTTTCCTCTGTGGGAAGCACCATTTCATGGTCTGGAACTCCTGCAGTCTCTGAGGTGCGTCTAACCTTCTTGCAGTCTTCTCTCTGCACTTGATTTTCATGCTTCAGAGAGGCAGCAATTCAGGTATTAAACCGCTAGTCATTGCCTGTATTCGTGGGTGATTCTCCTTGTAGGGTGTTTAGGTTTGTGAGAGGATGTGCTTAGGTTTGTGAGAGGAAAAGGCATTGGACGTTTTTTGTTCGCTAGTTGAGATTCCAGTGGCTTGAGTTGTTGGATTGTGTTTCTTTCGCCGCCTCATCCCTTGCAGTGTTGGACGCATTGCTCTGTTGTGTATGGGCTTTCTTAGTTTTCTCACCTTATCCTGAAAACTCGGGTTTTTCGAGGTTTATTTATCTTGTCTTATGGCATTAGTTTTCCTGCTTGCTGTTTATTCAGGCTTGCAGTTATGGTTTGTTATTTAGGGAGCTGTTATTGTCTGATAGATTATGAGATTTTCTGAATTTTAGACCCTGCGCTTATATTCGCCTGGGAGGAGGGGCTGTATAATGCGCAGCTTAATTCTTTTGGCATGAGATGTCGACGTAGTAGGCGTTTAGGGGTTCTTGCAGGTCGAATTCATTCGTACATTCATTCTTGGTATTGAGTATGTTGATGACTCTGCTGATTTTTACACACTTGCGCGCAGGATTGCGAAAAGCTCTACTTAGCCATGGCTGCTAATGCTATGCTGGCGAACAGAATGACGACCGCGCCTTTAATGGCGGTGGCCTCGTCCTCCACTCCATCCGCTGCTGTAAGCCTTTCGGTTCATTCTAACCCTTGAGAGCTTCGTAATTCGTGGCTCGTCTAATTGAGTACAATTACTGTTGTTATTGTAGTTCAAACCTCAGGAAGTTGCATTCGAGGGTCAACACCATTATCAGGGTTTAAATTGCAAATTCTCTCCGTATCTGCAAGTGCAGTTTCGTGGGATGCCTTGAAATTATCTTCACACAACTTGGTCCTTCAGCTTAAGTCATATGAAAGGGTTGAGCTTCATGTGGAAGATGTTTTAATATGCAGCTTGAGGCAACCCCTAGGGTATTTGGCGTGCTCGCAAGAACTGGAGTCCAGAGCATGCGTCTGAACAGCGCCATGTGGGGAATGAAATTGCAAGCAACGGTCTCTCCTAAGCCGGTGAAGGCAGGAAGCTCTGTTGCCATGGCTGCATACGATGACGACGAGATCGAGGAGTCCGAAGAAGACATCACTGCTGCCTACGAAGCCTTGTACGGGAAGGCTTTCGAGGGTTTGAAGAAGGGAGCCGCTGTCGATGAGAACCTAAGCGATGACACTAGGGGCAGGCGTGGAGACCGCCGAGGTGGCAAAAACGCCGATGATAAGATGGAAGAGAGAGTGGTGCAAGTTCGTCGAGTTACCAAGGTGGTGAAGGGAGGCAAGCAGATGTCGTTCCGTGCTGTGGTCGTCATTGGAGACAAGAAGGGCACAGTTGGTGTGGGAGTTGGATCAGCGAAGGAGGTCATCACTGCTGTGCAGAAGTCGGCCACTGACGCCAGACGTCACTTGGTCACCGTGCCCATGACCAAATATCTAACTTTCCCGCACAGGTGTAGTCTTTTCACCATTGCCATCCCCCCAATTATTAGCTTCATGTGAGAAATTTATTATATCACCCTGCTAAATAAATTCGCTGCCAGGATACTAATTGCTCGAAAACCTAACTTCTAGGTTGGTCACTCCGGGTTCATAACTTCTACGTTTTCCAATCTCCTAATCCTTCACGAGTCGGCAATGGAATAGCTCATGTGCTGCCTCACGTGGCAATATAGACACTGTTTGCAGCTTTATCACACAAATGTAAGAGTGTAAGCGTGCAGTACATGGTTCTTTGGGTTCAGGAAAACAAACTCTGAACTGTATGATCGTGATGTTGAGAAACGTGTATGTATGAAGTGTTAGTTCGCCACTATGTTTTCGTGAAATACATCGCTTATCTAGAAAGCGAAAGGTCCATTTTCTGAATGTCAAGGTAGAAATGCATTGTTTATTCTTGTTAATTGTTGATTCTTGTTAACTGCAGAGCCGATGGAGAGTATGGCGCTGCCAAGGTGATGCTCAGACCGGCAGCAACAGGTACAGGAGTCATTGCTGGAGGCGCAGTGCGTGTTGTGCTCGAGCTGGCAGGAGTGGAGAACGCTTTGGGTAAGGAGCTGGGAAGCAAGAACCCCCTCAACAACGCAAGGGCAGTTGTGGAGGCTGTGGGCAAGATGAAACAGTTTAGGGATGTAGCTAGAGACCGTGGAATCCCCATGGAGGAGCTCTGGAAGTGACCTCCCCCACTTGGTGTTCAGGTTGGACGGTATCGATTAACACATTATTGGTTAGTTTTGTAGGATTTATTCTGCCCCACTTTGTAGTTGCACCTCATTCTCTACCTTTCATACAAAGAACGATCTTTTCTATTATCTTCCACCTTCATGTCAACTTGGAGGTGGGCTGGACTTCCACCTCTACCGTGAGAGTTTTAATGCGTGATTGACTAGGGGCTACGAATGTGAAGTATGACGTGATGCTTGTAAACCCTACACATTATCGATGAAAATTTAAATAAAGGTATTAATAATAGAAACCCCAACAGTTTTCCTTACCGAAGGATCCGTGGCGCAATGGTAGCGCGTCTGACTCCAGATCAGAAGGTTGCGTGTTCGATTCACGTCGGGTTCAATTCTCCGAAGTCACCAGCTTTGCTAGGAATTCTTTTAGTTCACGGAGGGGAGACTCTTTTGCAGAGTCTTTTGAATTGCAAATTAGTTCTCATTATCTGAGAAGAGAACTTTTTCTGTGCTTCGATGTGGTTACGTCGCAGCCCCATTCTCACGCCTCTCAATCCAAGGCTCCACCCGTCACGGAAGGCTCATTCAATCGACCGACACCTCCTTGTTATTCCCCTCTTTCATGATCTGTCGACCTCCTCGACGTCGATCGAGCACCTTTCGGACTCTAAGCTCCATTCGTAACAGCCTCCTTCCACCCGAATCCTCATTGATCTGGTCTTTGGCTATGGATGTTGTTCAGACCTTGCTGTTTCAACCGCATTCATGGGGGGACTTTCCTCACTCGTTTTTGCTCACCATCTTCAGGTTTGTGCGCATGGGTTCACACAACTCTTTCGATCTGACGCCGACGATGATATTTTTTGTTTGTTGGAGCGTGTTGGGTTTTAGAGGTGCTGGTTGATTTGTAAGGACTTTTTGGTCTGGATAGGTTTAGGAATAGGTTAAACTTCTCTAAGGATCGAAGTTATCCTGGTGTAGAACTCGACTTGTTCTCCTTGAAGAACCTAGTTACATTCTAAGTTCGATTTTTCTTTCTTGCGAGGCCATCTCCAATTGGAATGGTGATTGCAACCGAGAAGAAGCCACCGTCGATTCTCGTGGATGAAACCGTGCTGAGTGCCCTTTCTTAAGTTAATTGACGAAATTGTGACTTGAAGACTGTCGAATTGCCGTTGAGTTGACATGCGTGTTTCGGTATTTGCTCATCACTTAATTGATAGACACCAGCGACCAATAGCGTCAAATGGCCCAGGTAAAGCCTCATTTGTTGTTGTAAGCTATTTGTGGTCTGTGTATTATTCTCCATTTTAGAAGTGTATTTGAGTGGATTTGATCATCATATTGACAAAGTGGTGATAGATTCCAAAGCTGTGTCATTTGGAGCATTTGCATGCGTGCTTCTTCTGATTCGAATCCAGCTGTTGATGATTTCTTCAACTGTGTTGTCGGGTTAATAAGATTCAGTCGCTGACGCCAAACCTCGGGGCTGTTAAAAGGCTAGTGCAATTGTTTAAGGTCCGGGGTTGAAATCTATATACTTGTCTGCTCCCTGAGCAGTGTAACCTCGTAGCCTTCTCAAAAACTAATTACTTAAGTATTGACACATAGAGTTCTTTGAATGTATTTTCATAATACATTAGCTTTGCATTGTCTTTTGTAGAACTTTTTTCCCTTTTTAAAGGGTTATGCTGTACCTTCGATGGAAGAGAATTTTAATAAGAGGCGTGTTGGACCTCCTCCCTTTCTATGGAACATTTTTGATGATCCTCTACTGCTACACATAGTGGCATCCTTCAAGAGCACTTCTCCGCTCCTCTGCCTCCTAACCATACGTATCAAGTCGTTGCACAATTGGATATATTCAACTTCTCTGCAATCTACACACGAAAGATGGTTTTGTTTCAAGTATTTATGGCTTCATTTTTCGTGAATGCAGGAACCTACTCCACTGCCACAGTTGGTTACAGAAATGGTTGCAGTGATGGAGTAATTTACTCAATTCGGGTGCAAATTTCGTTTGGTTCCATTTTAAATGCATCTCGTGAACCCTGTTTTTTATGGATCCGATTGATTTCTATCATATTGGGGTAATAAAAGATTTTGTAGATTAGAGGATTATGCAACATTATTTGGTGACCTCTGAACGAACAGGTACACAGATGATAAGGAACTCAAAGATACAATCTGCACAGCCATTCTCACTTTAAACATACAAATGTTTAACTAAGCACTTTCATTCACTGGATTTCTTCACCCTTCCCATAATTTTTTAGCTTCATTTTTTCTGGACGCTAGTTGTTTTGTTTGGGGACCACCATCTAGCAGAGGGGGGAGTTATTTATTGTTGTTCATTAACTTCCCAATTTTGAATCAACACTCAAAACTCCTGGAACCACCTTCTTCATGTTGGATTGATTTTTGCTTGTAGTGCTCCTTAGTTTAATTCAGTCAAACGTTTTTGGGACAGTTTTTAGCCTACCTTAGGTTATATTGACACCTATCTACTTGGCCCACTAGACAACTGATTCACTGGGATAAAAGAGTTTTCTTTCTTTTGGAATAGTTACTTGCTCTTTGCAAGAAATAATCTATTAACTGTTTTGTCAAACTCAGTGACTCAGTAGGTGTCAAAACAAAAGTGGATGAGAAGCTACAGTTAATTGACTCACAAGAATTTTTCTATAAATTTTACTCTTGGATCTTACTCAAATGATTCCTAAAATCAAAGGTTTGCATATTTAGCATACATATTAAATGTCGATGATAAGTCCGGTCATTCACTTTTGTAACTAATATTCTATTGTTAGTGCTTCTGTTTCCTCATTTAAGGTGAATGCTGAGTTTAACTGCAATATTTAATATTAAAGTTCTCTGACCATGGTATTTATGTTACAAAGCTAACTCAGGTGCTCATAATTGATCAAGCACAAGGCTACCATTTCTATTGCTTCCTGTAAAATTTATGTTAGGATAATTCTTAGAGAAGTTTCTTGTTTGGCCTGGAATTGTCCTGGAGATGTGAGGTAATTTGAAAACTAATTAGTCTTTTTTTTTCTTTTCAATTATCCTTTTTTTCCTTTTTTTTTTTTTTTTTTTTTTTTTTCTCTCAATTCAGAAATACATTTATTGGTTGAACATAAAAACTTAATCAATTCTTTAGAAAAAATCCTCCCCACTTGAATAACAATAGTTGCTTATTTAAGGAGTTGAAAATTTAATTCTACTTTAAACAAACAGCATATAGAACTACAAATATCAAATGGAATTTATTACCCACAACTTATGTTTAAGATTGTATCAAATCATTATTTTGTAATGAAATCTACCGAAATCAATTTTCGCCAATTATAGATAAAATAAATGAAAACCATGAAACATTTTATTTTTTCTTTTTTACACAAAAACAAAATGTATCCAATGCATTGATATAGTTGAAAAAGTAAATTAAACTACTTAATCCCTTACACCCCAAAGGCAGAGCTACAAGTTCTAAAAACATGGAACAATTATTAAAGTTCATTTATTTGCACTTTTGTGAATGATCACACCACACTAAGATATTCTAAAGTTTCATTTACCTACTTTGTCATCTCTACAGCCAAGTATGATTTTTGCCATCCATAATTTTGTCCCATCTATTAAGAAGGGTAGACTTGTGTTGTGGGGGTATTGCCAATTTATTTTTGATAAATCTCCAACAGATTTTTTTATATTTGATAAAAACATTTCCAAACAAGGCTTCTAATTTTGAGTTTGTTATACCTTATTTGTTTTAAACAAATTTGTTTTCTTTGAATCCAAATTCTCTCTCAAACCTTGCAAGTTAAAAATTATTGCAAAGCTTCATGATGCATGCTGCTTTGCTTTATGGAAAAAAAATAAATACTTAAATACATAATCCAGAAAACGAACTCAAGTTACTGTGCTTTGAAATAAATGTTTTAGAAAGATGAACAACTGATACGCGTAGTCAGAATCGGACGTAAATACATATAGAATACACGTTGATACGTAAAGGTGTATTTTGTACGGGTAACTGCGGACGATAAGTACGAATATAGAATGACGCAATCGTATGAGTATCGTCACGTTTACATCGACGGTCGGGTCTTCGCGAAGTTTCGACATGGCACACAAGTAACCGCCAAGTCAAAACCAAAAGAATCCAACACCTGTCGTACTAAAGTCAACCCTTAAAAACATCTTCTCTTGTCGATGCCGCAGCTTAAAGTCAACATTAAGCTGCGGCATCTGGAGAGAATCTTTGAGCTTGGGTATCCGTGGAATGAACTTGGGCTTGGGTATCCGTGATATAAACTCGGGCTTGGGTATCCGTGAAATAAACTCGGGCTTGGGTTCCAAGGGCTGGAAGATCCGTGTCCAAGCTCCATCACCATTGTTCGTTGTGTTCCTTGAGATAATCGCTGTCCACCATATATATATATATATATATATAATCTTCATTCTGTTCTATGTTTGCAATCTATTGATGTTGTCATTGATTCATTGCAATAGAGGTGTAAGAAAATCAATAAGTTATAGAGAAATTTGAAAGGAATTCATGTGTCCTTTCTCTTTTTTCATTGGAAATTTTAAACTTATCAGTCACAACCAAATATTGAAAAGTTGTGACTGATAAGTTTAAAAATGAATTTCAAAACTATCAAAAGTAGCTAAATGAAGAAAATATTTACATATACACACATACACACAGAACCTCATAATATTTTTGAAAATATATACTTTTTAAAGAAGCATATTGTATTTATCTATGGTAAAGCATAAATTTTGAAGATACAGTGGCAAATACCACTGGCAGAGTACAATTTATGATAGTATGTTCATCTGAGATGATTTATTTTTGATAAAATCATTGATGAAATAATCAAAAAATAAATAAAAACACAATGATACCTATTACATTGTAAATTTAGAATCAAACACAATTGGTTTTTACTTTTTGTAGTTGCCAATATTTACATATTAAGGAGGCACATTAAATCTTGTGCTATATTATAATCGTATAGATATATTGATATATACATTGACTTTTTGTTGTTTTCAATGAACAATTTAAATTCGAATGTTTAGTGTTTTGTTTTGTTTTGTTTTTTTGTTTTTGTTTTTGTTTTTTTTTTTTTCTGCAACTGTTATTCGGAATGTTTCTTTCAATGAAATCAACACGGAAAATCAAATAGGTAAACACAATCTCATAAATATTTACAACATGTATGTAAAAAAAGTTTTATTGATTTATTTACTTTTTTACGTTTTTAAAATATGTATATATATATATATATATATAAACACACATTTGTTTTTTTGTTCTATTCAAGTGATTAGGCATTTTAATATATTACAGTGACGAGGAAACTATTAGCAATGCCCTTCCAATAATTGTAATTGTATTCAAGTAAAACCATTGTATGTTATTTCTAATGTTGTTATTGTAATGAGAAACTTTTCAAAAACATAGCAAAGACTAAACTCAAACATTCATTTCTATAATTGCACATGAAATAAGAAAGCTAAACGGCCGTTGAAAATAACCAAAAGGCTTGCTATTGTGCAATGAGAATACAAATGTGCAATGGAGTGAATCCAAATCCAAGAAGTGTATGCATTGGATACCATCAAAAAACCCTAAACCAGTAGCCATGGCCATGGAGGGGGCAACAAGAGAGACCCACTTGGTGGCAGAAGGCTACAAATCCAAGCGAAGCTCCAAAAGGGACCTGGAGAAACAAACATGCCTGTCAGGGCAGGGGCATCCTTTACAACAAGGCACCCAATGAAAACCCTAATTTTAGTAGGATCCAAGTTTGCCGAACCCCACCGTGTCCACTTGGCGGAGGTGGAGGCCCGCCAAGTTTAGAGGCACTGCGGAACAGCTCACTCGCCACGCTTTCGTAGAGCTCGCATCGTCTTCTTCCTCGCAGAAATTCCGCCATCGCCGCCGTGTGCCTCCCTCGCTCTCTCCCTCCCTCGCTCTCGTGAATCTGGCCACAGACACCGCACTCGGGGAGCCTCGCCATGGTGGATGGAGGACCCTGAACTGCCGATTTGTCTAGAATAGCGGGGGCGGGGAGAGGCGCGGGTTGTTTATATTTGTTTGATAGCTTTTCCTAAAAGAAGACGGGCATGGGCAGCCTGGAGGGCGTGGGCGGCGGCTTCCTTGATCCCCATGGACTCTCCTTCTTTCTCTCGTCGCTGGGTTGTTCTCTTTTTTTCCCGCATTGGGCTTGAACCGGGTTCCAGTTCGGGAGGGAATTGCGATGCTCATTCATTAAGATGATCGGGGGCGCGACGACTGTTGAGCGACCTGGCTCTGGGTCCTTTCTCGGAGCAAGCGCTGATGGGAAAACATTTACATCCCGCTACTTGGAGAGCAAAACCCTGATTCAAATAGAGGGGGCCTCGAATTCTCCTTTTTGAGAGGTTTTTCCCTGGTCTCAAGGCTGCACAAAGCCAAGTGCGAGGGAAAGAGGCTCTGACAGACTGTGTTTATCGGGGCAGGTGAGTGTGCCTTTTTTTGACGGCCTGCCAGAGTGTCAACGAGCCCAGTTCAAACTCCCTCCCTCGCTCCAAAGCTCCTCTATACGAGGCATGCGCTCACACAGTAGTTCAAATCTCACCGAGAGTCGCAGACATGTCCCCCCACCCGATCCCCTTCTCTGGATTCCGATTCTACGAAAGCTGATTATCCACTGTGGGACCCAACGCAAGCGGGGGGTTGGTTTGCCATCTGTCGAGAATCTCTACGCTGTTACTAACTCGTTATCACTCAGCCCTTGATTGGCACTTCATTTTGGAACTGGAGGTTGGTGTTTTAAGGCTTTCCTCAGTCTCTCGGCTGCTGGACTCCGATAACTTTTATATTGTAAAACTCAGAAAATATTGGGTTTCCTTGCGGTATCAGAAAACCCTTGTTGGTCTATTCTGCACCCTCCAGGTCTGTTCAGCATTTGACTCAGCTTTTATAGATAATTCATGCTCATTGCGGGCCAGTGCGTAATGCATGATTAGGAGTTTGGGTAAGGCTGTCCGAACCTAAAGGGTGATTCCGATCGTCACAAGCACAAACTAAGTCATCCGAGGAAGTTCCAGCAAGGACATCTTTGCACAGGATCCTGGTTTCGGCACGTGGCGCTGACCTGTTGGTAGTCAATTTTTAGGCGAAGCACGGAGAAAGAGCAACCAGAGGAGGGGGAGATGACACGAGAGAACTGGTTCACAGAAATTGCTCACTTCAGTGACCGAGGATTTGGCATCATCCACTTTATGATTGCCTTCATTTCATTCTTATGTTTTGAACGTATTGTTGCGTTTGGCGCTATCGGTATGCAACGTCGAAATCTGCACTTGATTTTGACGATGTTATACATTCGAAGACATTCTTCAGCATCCAAGGATAGTATTGAATGGTTCAGTAATGCACTGTAGGAATGTAAGTCTCGTTTTCAGTCAGTGTTTGCCTCATTAAGGCGGAGTGATCGGCTCGAGAAGATCTGGTGGGTGAAGAATCCGACGTCGCAATCTAACACAAGCCTGATTTAACATGATTTTATTTTTTCTACCCTCACATTCTGAATCATCCGTAAGGCAGTGCATCCTCCCTGTTGCTGAAGACAAGCCATGTTAAATTTATCATTCCGCCAGATTTGTTACCCTGGCGAAAAGTTTGTGTCATTCTGTGCTACAGCTCCTTCCCGCACAAGAGTTACCCGCCTCCTGCTGTCTTTTCTTCCGCTGGGGATCCCGACTAATCATGAGAGCTTCAACGCCGTATCAAAGAGATTATCCCCATGATTAGCACATGCCACAACGACCTTCGTTGTAAGCCCTGCTATACAGTGCATCGCGAACTGGTTCAGAAGAACGGATGAATGAGGATGCGTGCAGAAAAGAGAGAGATGCACAAGAGCAGGATCAGTGGCAAGCGCTGGCAGTTTCCTGCATGTTGAGTGATCCATGATCCACCGCCTTATGAAGCAGTGTGATCGGGGGTGTTCATGGATCAAGGGGCTTGTGGTGTATTCCAGTTGCAGGCGGTGTCGGTGTGAGAATCCAGAAGGGGAAACGTCAGAGAGATAATCCTGCCTGCGAAGTATGTTGGAAGTTAGAAGTTAGAACTTAGTGTTAGATAGTTTCTTTCGTCTGGGGTTGCGTTGTGGAGCTATATTGCGCTTCAAGATTGTAGTTCTTTGTGAGCTTTGTTTGTCTCTGGAGGTGGTTACTGGGTGATGGAAAGCGTTTTTGGTGGGTTCTGGAGTTGGATGCATGCGAGGACGAGCATTTGATGAGCATTTGATGAGGTAGTGTGCGAGGAGGAGGCGATAGGGCGGAGAAGGCATTGTTCGCGAGGCTGTTACATGTGAACTTAATTTTGTTTTTCTGAAGGGTTTGAGCTTTTGGTTGCGGCGTTAGTGAAGTGGGGGAATAGACTTGAAGCAGATTCTGGCGGTATGAGAGATGGAGAACTATAAGAAATTAGAGAAGATCGGCGAGGGGATGTACGGGAAGGTGTACAAGGCGGTGGACAAGAGAACAGGGAGTTTGGTGGCGTTGAAGAAAACCAAGCTAGAGAACGATTTTCAAGGCATTCCTGCCACGACGATACGAGAAGTGGCTCTCTTACAACTGCTTTCAATGAGCATCTATTTCGTCCGGTAATTCGTTTTCCGCTTGTTTGGAATTAGTTCGCAGGCTGGCATTTGGTTCAATTCGGATACATTACGCTGTAGAGTTAGGCGTAAACGGTTATCATATTACACTATAGTAAACTGGCGTTGAGGAGGAAAATGCGTGTTACCAATTATGTTTCCCTGTTTGTTTGTTTGTTATAGATTGTTAAGTGTGGAGCATTTCAGTAAGGGAGGGAGGTTATCGTTGTACCTGGTCTTCGAGTACGTCGACACGGACCTAAGAAGGTTCATTGACCTGTCATGGCCAGGCCTCAACAACCCACTTCCTCCATTGACCATTAAGGTCAGCAAACAACCTCTGCCCCCTCATGTGCCTCTTGAATGAATCTTTTAGAAGAAGTCACGTTGATTAAGTTATCCATTATCGCACACCTGGTTGCCTGTGGCAGTTGTTGCTACAGCGCTCCAAGTTCTTAGATTACCCTTAGTCTGCCAACCTCCATGATAATTGAAAGTTTCTTCCGTCCGATGTTTTCTGAATGGGTGTAGAGCTTTATGTACCAATTGCTGAAAGGGGTTGCTCACTGCCACAGCCATGGAGTCATGCACAGGTATCTCAATGACGGAATCTTTATAAATTCAACTTTCTGGAGATGTGGAGTCTTTCGCCTTTCATTACAACTTCAGAGTTATATATGCTTTAGATCTGAAAGTGAGGTCTTATGAAAGGTCTACTGTTGTGCTACGTTGAAAACTTCTTGCAGACGTATGCTCCAACATGTACTTTACTGAAGCATCTTTTTTCTTTGCAGGGATTTAAAGCCTCAGAATATCCTCATTGACTGGGATAGAGGTTTGGTTAAAATTGCGGATCTAGGATTAGGAAGAGTCTTCACTGTTCCGGTCAAGAGCTATACTCATGAGGTCAGTTTCTAGAAGCTCATTCTAAGTCGAAGTGAGCTTTCTGTCTGTATTGCGATCAAATGAGAAATGATTCTACATTTAGCAATACGTTAGGTCGGGGCAAAGTGCTATATAATTTTGCTTATTTTAATTACCATGATCTGTCGTGAAGGTTGTCACACTGTGGTACAGAGCCCCCGAAATCTTGCTGGGGTCTAGCCATTATTCAACACCTGTGGATATTTGGTCTGTAGGATGCATATTTGGTGAGTATCAACCTTCACCAATTTCTCGATTTTTTCTTTGATGTCACGAAGCCAAATGAGTTGCTTGAGTTTAGTCTGCGCTACTTCACCCATGATAACTGAGGGCTTGGACCTCCTGGACGTGTGATGTTTGGGGTAGGCTCCAGGTCTCTTTGAATTTACTGCAATTTAATGACCTCTGTCTTGTGAATGGTGCATGGTGCATGCTTGTAGCTGAGTTGTGCCGCAAGATGCCTCTATTTCCAGGAAGTTCTGAACTCCAGCAGCTCCTGCACATTTTCCGGTGAGTTTTTTATTTTTTTTATTTTTTTATTTTTTTCTTCCTTTTATGCTTGATAGAGACCTTAAACGTGCACGCGAGCAACATCCCATGGTTACGTTTGCACCTTCCCTGAATGTTTGTGAAATCAAATTTCATTAGAGTGGTCTAGACCAACAAAAAGTACATTGCATGAGCAAACCCGTGTTGCTCACTATAAATGATTTGATTCCTTGCAGATTACTTGGGACCCCAAATGATCAAATATGGCCTGGAGTGAGCACGCTGCGAGATTGGCATCTCTATCCACAGTGGAAACCACACAACCTCGCACAAGTTGTTCCAGAACTCGACTCAGCAGGCATCGATCTTCTCAAAGTGAGTATCCTTCGTGCACTTATTCCATCGAGAGATGCGGCATCATTAATTGTAGTAGAATGTATCCTCAATTTGTCATGCATGCATGAACTAAGCGCTTCTCTGCCTTCCTTGCACTGTGCTCATTGCGTGTTTTCTGATCTGCAGAGTATGTTGCAATACAACCCAGCGAGCCGAATTTCAGCTAAGAAAGCCTTGTTCCACCCTTATTTTAACAGCCTTGACAAGTCGCAGTACTGAACAGCTGCAAGGAAGCGCAACGTTTAACCACCAAGACTTCTTTTATTTGTGTGAAATGTGCCAAAAGCATGAATCGCATTCTTACATGCAGAGGAATCGCTCTTAGCCATCAATTTCGGGCCCGATTGCAGTACCACTATCTCAGTGGATCCTCTATCTGTGACCTTACTCACTCTCCATGGCAGATTCCCGCATCATCAATAAATAGGTTTTCAACAGAGATAAGATGTAGTTGTATCATAAATTATTCAATTATTTTGTTTATGCCAAGTATTGAAACTAGACCCCTGCTATAGCTACCTGTTGATTCTTTCCACTATGATTCAAAGTGGTATCATTATTTGATTCAAAGTTGTACTCGGTCATATTATGATCCTATTATAATAGTCATTGCAATTTTCATTGCACATGGTCTGAATACTGGTTTCGATATTGTAGTCAAAGGATGCTCCCGCCATGGCCATGTGTGTCTCCAAAACAGTGAAGTTGAGCTTCCACTGTAAGAAAAGAAATGAGATGAGAATGTACGGAAGTGATGAGCTCTAGCATCTTGAAACTAATATTGGTTCAGAATTTATGCACCACTATATCCAACGTCAATACGATTATTAGCCAGAAGAATTGAAGAGTTTAAATTTATGATCCTGAGCAAGCTAACACACAACTGTGAGTTGACAATGTTGATGTTCACAACTTGAGCTCATTTGTTGTTGACAATGTGAGTTACGGTTTCAATACTCAAGCAGTTCTTTTCGGCAGAAATGAGCGAATCAAACGTGTAATTGACTTCGAAGCTGCATCTTACATCAAGAATGTGAGAAAAAGAATGTGAGAACAAGAATGTGAGAACAAGGGAGGTGATTTCGACAAATTGCTGCAAGTGTCAAGGTTATCTTGTTAGACACCATCACCCACTGCTGACTGGATGGGTTGGATGCCTCTGGCTTCTTCCTCCAAACTCAGTAATCTTGTAGTTGCAAATAAACAAGTGGGATTAGACGTGCACAATGTGCCTTAATATATAATGATATAGAATGAAACCTCGACTACAACGTCTCAGGCTTAAGATGGTTTGTTCATTCAGATAGATGGGATGGTAAACATTTGTGACCTTGGGTGATCTATTGTTAATGCTCCTTTTCAAACAAGGTTGTGTGATTTATTATTTTCTTCATGTAGCTATGTGGCAGTGCCAAGAGAGTTAAGAGGGGCCAAGTAGTTTCCAAATTGTTTGATGTATCATATTGGTATATGTATTTTGTTTTATTTCTATTTTGTATTCATGGATCGATGCCTTTGTAATTTCTCAGCATGTTGATGAAGGTTGATATGATTTGTAGTAAAAAACTTGTTTTTGTTGTACATATGGACAATATTGGGATTGTTTTATAAATGATTTAGCCATGACTTCAAACTTGTTGATGATGCATTGGATTGTGTATTTAAATAGAGAGCATCAAGACGAATTGTTAGGCAAGATCCATGCAAGTTCTTTGTATATTATTTTATTGCTCTTCTTTGGAGATGTACTAATGTGTTAAGATTTTGTTTTTGAAGTAGAAAAACATATATCTTTTCAATATTGTTGTTAGAAATAAATTACATTTCATATGCTTTCTATTCCATCTTTTGTCTTGTAGTAGCAATTGGTGTTTGGTATTTTGAAGATGAAGGTTTTTATTGCAAAGAAGGATGTAATGATGGTAGAAGATCTTCAAAAAGGAAGTTTTGACCAAAAGTGTCTCTAAAAGATTGGTAAGATTTTATTATTAATAACAATAATTTTTTTATTAGTTAATAATAAATTTAATAAAAGAGAGTAAAAGTCCATATAATAGTTGTAGAAAAATTATCCTAAGGTTTTATAATTGTTATTATATTTTAAAGAATTTGTATTATGGTGGTGCAGATATTGTTGAGAATAAGTTTTTCTAGTTTATTTGTCATATTTGCTTTTGCTAGGCTACTAAGATTTTGGATGCTTAATGCATTCTTATAGATTTTAAACTTGATTCTTGTTAATAACTTTAAAATTATATTTTTTGATTGGAAATTTGTGAAAATATAAAAAATACTATTTTTTCTTTTATAATTCTTTCTTTGATAAAATAATGGTATATCTTGACATTTTTTGTTTTAGCATGAAAAATTAGGTTCTATGCCAATTTTATTAATTCTTAATAATTGCAATGTATAGTGATAATTTAGCTAGTAAAGAAGTTAAAATATTCTTATGAATATCAATATTTTTGTAAGAAATAAGAATTGTTGGATTGATAGTAATTTGAATTTTTTATTGTAGTTATTATAATCAAATGTTGTCTAATGTTCCATCACTAATGATATAGTATTCTCGCTCTATAAAAGATCTTAAGAATATTAATTGGTGCTTACTCTAATAGATAAGTGGACCACCTACTATTGTAAAGATATAGACTTTAATAAAGTGTCTTATTTTTAAAAGCTTTTTTAAGTTTGCACCAATATAATCCTTGACTGTATAATCCTCCAACAATGTGTAGAAGGTGTCATAATTTAAGGTGTATTTCACATAATGCAATATGTATTTGGTAGCATCTAAATATGATTCTTATGGATTTACCATGAAACTACTATCTTAGCTTATAGCATAAGAAATGTTTGGCTAGTTTATAGTGAAGAAGATGAATTTGCCCATTAATTGAGAATATTAGGTTGAGTTGGTGTAGGGAGAATTCATGTAGTTCATAAGTACTAATCCTTCTGGTAGTAATATTTTGGATTTCTTATAGTTGGACATCTTGAATTACTTGAAGATAGAAAATACATATGTAATTTGATATGAGAAAATATTGTGTTAGCTCTATGTAAAAAATAAATCATCTATGTAAAACATCAAGGTAAGTGCCTTATCATTTTAATACATGTAGTATACATTAATATTATAGTTGTTGTGTTTTATTTTCTTGTGTTGTAAAATTTTATCTATTTATTTGTACTATGCATGATGTGGCTATTTTAAATTATACAAAGATTTTTTGAATTTACAAACCAGATTTTTTTTATTAAAAAAATAAAATCTTGAAATTGATACATATAAATATTTTCTTTAAGATAGCCGTTTAAATTTTTTGTTTGTACATCCATGTGATGTATTTTCTATTTGTTAATTCTATCTAATATTATTGCTGTTTTAATGGTTGACCATTTAATAACATCTATGAAGGATTTTTAGAAATAAATTATTTTTATTTATTTAAAACCTTGAGCTATTAGTTGGGTTTTTTTTTTTTTTTTTTTTTTTTTTTTTTTTATTGAAAAAGTTATTTAATCATAGTTTAAATTTATAAAGCCATTTGGATGTAATAGAATATTTTTCTAAGAGTAAAAGCTAAAGAATCCATATTTTATTTTGCTTAATTGAATGCAATTCATCAACCATAGCTTATTTCGACCTTGTGTTATATATGGCTTATTCAAATAGAATAATATTTTTATATTGTGTAGGATCTTATAGTGACTTTTCTTTTGTATCCTTCACCATGGTTATCGTATAGACATCAAAGTCATCTATGCTAATGTATTGTAAAGATAATATTCACTTTTCAACTCAAATTATAAGATGGCCTAAATTAAGAGTTTTTTTTATAATTGATGGTATGAAGTGGAAGTAGCAAGAATAAGAATAAAATAAGAACAACAAAAAATAAGTGAAACAAATGCAATCAAGCAATTGTATACTACAAAACTAGTCATACTTTATTTATTAAATTTTTATCAAATAAAAAATAAAAATAAAAAGTAAAAAATATATTTTTAAATAAATAATAATTTTACCTTTCTAATGACATAAAAAAATATAAATTAAAATTACTATGAATAAGTTATGATAGATTAAAGATAGAAGATAAATAAAAAATTAACTAAGTAAATAATTTTTACCTCAAAAATAACTTGCTTAAGAGATCAAGAGTTTGAGCCTCACTAAGGCTCACAAGTAATGTATATGGGTTGTTAAGAGAGGCCATAAGGTCTCAGTCTTATCTTCCTACCTATATGTAAGGTGCTACAACCTATATGGACTTGTATACCTCTCTTTCTACAAAGACTAGACTAGCTGCTGGTCCTCCTATTTTCTACTAGTAAAAATAATATTTTTTTATTTTTGACTTCACCATGGTATTTAAAAATACCCAATTAGATCAAAAACCTTAGATGGCCTTCAAATCTTGCTTTATTTCTTCATAATGGCTCACAAGGTGGTAAAATTTAATTTTATTAAGCTCTTATAATCTTCTATAAAAATTCTTAATAAATTATAAATAAATTCTAATATATCATATAATATTTTTATAATACTAATATCTATTTAAGGCTATATTTTATTAATTTTTTGATTTATATCTACTAAAAATCCTATTTTTTATATAATTAATTAAGAAGTCATGAAGTTCTCTTTATGCTTCTTCTAACTACTAATTAATCATTGATAGGATTTTTATAAGTAATAAATTTAGATAGGAAGCCAATAAAGATATTGATCTCAATAATTAATCTTTTATACTTAATAATAAGTAAAAATATTAAACTAACTAAGATAATTGCTTCCAAGAGTTATTAAGATTTTATTTTTATGACTTTTCTTTCAATGAGACTCTTGTAATTTATAAATACTTCTAAATTATAATAAATAAATAAATAGTCAATTTTTTTTTTAATCTTAATATTTTTATAATTAAATAATTTAAACTATATTTTTAATCAATTCACCAATTAACATGCATTGGTAGAATTCACACATATACATGACAGTCTTTCAATTTGATGTTAGATTTGTATGGATGTATTGACTTATGTACTAAGATAGTATGGATGGAATAAATAAAAAAGACATAAGAAGCTTTAAAGAGATTGTTTGTAGGAAGAATAGAATATTAAGTATTGTGAGAAGTTCTTATTTGATGTTGAAAAGAGTTTCAAATACTGGTAAGTCAACAATTGGGATTAATTTTTTAAAGTTAGGAATACATAGAAAAAAATGTCAAAGAAGAATTTGATAGATTGATACAATGTAAAATCAAAAAATGACTCTTCAAAAAAATATCATGATTAATAATTATTTTTTTGGTTGTAAGATTATAACAACAATATATACATTTGTTTTTATTATATCTAATAAATATAGTAGTTATGACTTTGAAATATAGTTATTTATTTCTTATATATGCTCTACATGTACCAGAAGCTATTAATACATGAAACATTTGGCCAACTTGTTGGCTAAGTTTTTAATCTATCAATCACGTATAGACATGTATAAAGGTGAAATTATTTCTATGAATCTTTTAAGAAGCTTTTTTAGAAGATATTAGAAAATTAATCTATTTTTATTTACTTCTACTTATTCAAATTATCTAGATAACTATTAGAATAAATATGTTTGTCCATGAT